CTCTCTCTCTCTCTCTCTCTATATATATATATATATATATATATATATATATAATTTCACCTCAATCACACTTTATATCCTGTTTCCTTTTGTAATACACTTTAAATAACAAAAGCCAGGTCCTAAATTACACCAGCATCCAGGAAGTTACATCACTTAGGAAAAACAGCAAAGAATAGCAAAGAATTTGATGAATTCTGTGGTTTGTCTCACTCAGAAAACATTCCACCCTGATTGATTTAATTACAGAAAACTGAAAACACTTCAAATTATGAATTTGATAAGCAATTCCTAACTTTAGCTCTCAAGATGCAGTCACATTTACTGCTTCTGTGTGAAAAACAGGAATAATGATGACAAAATATACATTAAAAAATACACCCTGAATAACTGCCTTCCAAACAGGTCATTTTATTATATTGAAGTGTAATGTTATATAAAACTGGCAAACACAAAACTACTACAAAACAAGGATTTTGGATTATTTGCACTATTGCCAAGTTACAAATCTCTACCCACACAGAGGACACAGACAAAACAAGAGGTTTGCTATTGGCCATAGCAGCAAAATTTTGTGTCAAAGTTCAGCAAACTTGAATCTGACATGAAATTTGCATTGGGAAACTACACATTCTTTAGTGTGACAATTCCTACAGAAATCCCTGTAAAATTCTGCTAAATTTCACTGATCAACGGTAAATATGACCACATTTTTACTGTCCATACTCATAGGCTCCACCCTGTTGGGTATGCTGTTAATTGTCTTGAAATTTAGTAAATAATCAAGATATAATGAATATGTCTGAGCTTAGATCGTAGGCTCAGAGAGCACAGCTTACCCATTTAATAGGTTGGCACTTTCTTCCAGGGCCCGTATGCGCTGTCGGCATTCCATAATAAATGAATCCAAGGCATATTGACAAGAGTCCAGTTGCTCCTGTATGCTTCCAGTCCCACATTTGCTGAGGTGCAAGAGGAGTCTCTCTCCATCCTCACAAACACGGGCCAAGCGCTCCTCACCCTCCATGACTTCCTCTACTGCAGTCTAAAAATGAGGGGATAAATGAATCCTATTACATGAGGGACAGAATGAACCATTGTTATTAATAATGTTAAATGGCTCCTAATCCCAAATTTCAAATCCGAAATAATCCCCTATTAATTGGAGGTCTGAAATCATTGTTTAACTACTGATTGGTAGTTGCCTTATTGCTACGCTCTGGTGCAATGTTTTATTACATGGCTGAGTCATTTGTTGTATGACGCTACCTTGAGCTTTTGTTGCTTGGCTGAAATAGCAACAGCATCTCCTGTTTGCTCAAAGCAGTCCTCAATCCCAGCCCTCAACTCAGACAGCCAACAGTGAAAAGCATGTGCTTTCTCTAGCAGAAGGAAAGACAGAAAGAGAATGACAGTTCATAAGAAGAAGTATATGTGAGCTGTTGCTGTATGCGGACAGATGGACTGTGTACGTGTGTATGGATGGAACAGCTCTCTGTTGTCTTAGTAACCAGCCTCAACCAATTCCACCGGGAGCAGTCATAATGTCAGTGGGAGAGGCAGCATCTGAGGCACAGGTGTGTGGCAGTCATGTTTTTAGGAAGTGCTGTGCCGTATCATTTCAATCAAACATAAATAAATAAAATATCTATTATAAACTATTCATGAGCCATTTTAATAGTAAGTGCCTTTAAAATCCCATCTATAGTCTTATAACTGACAAGTACACTATTGTTCAAAAAATTTGGGGTCAGTATTTTCTTTTTATAAATTAACTTTTTTTTTCAGCAAAGACACACTAAATTGATCAGAAGTGACAGTAAATACTGTAAATGTTGTTCTTTTGAATTTTCAATTCATCAAAGAATACTAGGGAAAAATGGTTCACAAAAATAGGTGTATTTATTGAGCACCAAATTAGCATATTAGAATGATTTCTGAAGGATCGTGTTACACTGAAGACTGGAGTAATTAAAATTCAGCATTGGCATTACAGGAATACTGTAAATTACATTTTAAAATACATTAAAATACAAAACAGTTGTTTTAAATTGCAATTATATTTCATAATATTGCACATATATTACTGTTTATAATATACAATACTGTTTTATTGTATTTTAATCAAATATATGCATCCTGGGTGAGTATTAGACACGTCTTTCAAAAACATTTAAAAAAATAAATCAAACCGTGGTAGTGTACACTTTAACATTTAATTACTATTAAATATATTACTATTGGTCACACTTTATTTTTAGGTACAATTCTCACCATTAACAAACCATTAACTGTGACTTTTGCTTCAATAAACTCCTAATTTGCTGCTTATTAATAGTTAGTAAGTTAGTTGTTAAGTTTAGGTTTTGGGTATGATAAAGGATGTAGAATATGGTCATGCAGAATATGTGCTTTATAAGCACTAATAAACAGCCAATATGTTAATAATAGGCATGCTAATAAGCAACTGAGAATTGGTCCCTATACTAAAGTGTTACCTTACTATTCATTCATTTAATATTATTTACTGTTACACTCACCATTGAAGCGCTGCAGAAGAGCATCCTGAAGAGACCCCAAGATCTGGCTGCGGCGTTGTGTCACTTCCTCATTCCTCTTGACCAGGTGGGAGACAGCGTCACCCAACAGGGTCAGGTGCTGAGTTGGATGCGTTCTACACAGGGCTCTGAGAGACTCACTTGCTACATCCAGACTCACCTCTAACTGCTTCTGTGACCTCTCAACCTCCTAACAGAACAGGGAGAAAAATAAAGGGTGTATAATTTTTTATTGAATGTTACATGGTAATAAAGAGCCTTGAAGACCCCCACTTGCAATTAACTGGTGGGCTGGATAATACAAGTCAAATATTATGATGAAATTCCCAATGATTTGTGTATACCAGTCTAGCTTAGCCTACTGTGTTTAAATAAAATTCAGCCAATTCACTAACCTTGATCTTAACTAAATTCTCTGGGTCAGAGGATGAGGAAAACTCTGATAGCGAGTCCTCTGAGGTCTTCAGTTGCTCTGAAATCTGGGAAATTAGGTCTTGAAGCTGCTGCCTCTGGGAGTTGAAGTCTTTATACATGACTTTGGTCTGTTCATACACCTCTGCAGCATGGGAAATCTGCTTCCTCAGATCTGCAGCCATCACCTCAAAAGAGCAAGAACACGTGCTAGGTTTACCAGTGGCCATGAAATGCAGTGCTTTTAATCTCTTTATATTCTAGATGATGAAACAGCACGTGTCACAACAAATGTCACAACCACTGCTGATGATTACCTGCAGTTCAGTGTGTACGTGCTGGGTTTTCATCAGTTCCTGTAGCTGTGTCATCTTTGCCTGCAAGGTCTTCAGTTCATCTTCCTTATTATCTAACTCCAGCTGTACAAACACAGAAATCCTGGTTCTTATTTTAACATTTTGTCATGTTATGTTAAATTTGTATTGGCTAAATAGATCTCACCTTGAACTCAGAGAGGTGTTCTTCCATGTCATGAGCAGAGAGAAGACTGGCAGCTCCCTCACTGAGCTCACTGACAGAGATGGCACTCCAACACTCAATGTCATTGGCCATTTTATTAATGTCATTCCACAGCCCAAGAGAGCGAGTGTAAAGACTGATGTCTGCATCCATCCTCTCAGAGATCTGCACAATAACGAACCATAAGTGCATCATATACATAATATGGTGTAAATAATAAGAAGAACACAGTTGTAAGAGTAGACACACTCATTTCACCAGCCGGATAAGGGATGCATATATTTCAATTCTACTGTACATCACCATCCAGGCGATATATGTATATAATTTTCTTTGTACTTAGTGTACCAACTACTGTATCTATGTTTGTAGATTTTAGTGCTTTACGTTTATCTCTTTTTCTTTCTTTCTTTCTTTCTTTCCATCAATACCACCCTTTTATCTGAACTGTTATGTTTTTTGTTTATTTGTTTTTTGTATCATGTTTTTGACTACGTTTGTACATTTCAGTGCTTCAAATCTCTTTCTTTCTTTTCATCAATACTTTAATTTTATCTGAATTGTTTTTTTTTGTATCATAAAAACAATAAATAAATGATCAAGAATAAAGGATGCATTGATACTGCTATTCTGGCCAGTATCAAAAAGACAATATCTGTATGACAATTTATTGGTTGTCATACAGATATTGTACATCTGTACAGTCATCATTGTACAGATGTACATCTATATTTCTTAACAATATCGAAATTAAGCAAAAACAAAACTGATAGAAAATAATAATACATAATGATTTTAACTAGCTTCCATATCACATTGAGTGCCTATTCTCAATGTTCTCATTAACTTGTTACACAGTCATTTGCAGGAGCAATCATTCTTAATGACCAGTTTGAGTTTTCAAATGAGCATATTTACATGTTTGACGACAGGAAATGATTTGATACATCCCTGCCTCAAGTTATTTCATAAAGTGATGGGGACTAAACCAAGCATGCCAAATGATGTCTAATGAAAGGCATTTAATGCACTCACATCCAGCCACTGATCAACAATGGCATCTATCTCCGTTGTGACATTTTCACTCTGAACGCTTTCCTCTGGAAGCTTCTTCAATACGCCAGTCAGGTGTTTGCCTGAACCAATGAGCTTATTCAGGTCCTCCGTAGTGGCCGCCAACTCTGGCCTCACCGCTTCCAGCTGAGTAAACAGAGATAACCTTATTACCTGTGTGCTTGTTATCATAATCTAAATCTGTTGTTTAATAGGTGGCACACACTGAGGCACTAACCCGAGACAGAGCTCTGCGGATATCCTCTGGGTTGTGTGGGTCTGAGTGGGCCACTGTGATGGCATGAGCTCTCTCTACGACCGAGCTGATCCTGGTTCTCAGGGTCTGATATTCCCTACAGAGCTCCAGCAGGTTTGCACAAAGGTCATGGCTGTATGGGCACAAACACAAGCAGCCGAGTCTCAGATTTTAGGCACGAAGTGAGGGAAACATCAATAGAGCTTTGCAAACACGCACTGCAGTCTTGGCAATAGCTCAAAACACTCTCCCCTTTCTTCAGTTTCTTTAATCCAAAGAATAATCTATTTAGAGATTCACCCACATATCCATCAAACAACACGCACACAATAAACCACATTTAAATCACATTTAAACATGGCAACAGTCGCAACCTGTCAAAACACCCATCCATCAATGCACTGGCCCAGTCCAGCCTCTCCCTCCCATAAGTCATCCATATCAAGTTCAATTTGACAAACCATTCATCTATTCAAACATAGTAAGTTTCAATGGGAACTTGGTGTATAAGGCTTGGATAGTGAAATACTCACTCCTCCACAATAATTGCCCTAATCCTCTCCCAGGTGTACTGAACCAAGGCTACGTCCCGCTGGGCTTCCCCTGCCAGCTCAGAGTCTCTGTGGGCCAGTTGTTCTCCTCTTTCTCCCAACCACAGCTGACTGTGCTGCAGGGCTTGGAGCTCCTCTTCTAACTGCTTCAGCAACCACAACCTGAAAAAAACAAACAAAGAAAATTATTAAAACAGCATAGCACAAATTTTGCCATTGTTACAGTAAAATTACAAAACTCAAATTACATTTGCTCACAGTAAACAACTAAATGGCTCAATATGAAGTCCACACTTTATATTGTATATGGATGCTTTTAAATATACATATTATTATAAAACATATAAATTCATTCGGAAATTACTATAACCATATATGGCCCCACTTTGTATTAAGTGGCCTTAACTACTATGTACTTACATCAAAAATGAAGTACAATGTACTTATTGTGTTCATATTGTATTGCAAAACACTTTTGCTGCTATTGAGGTGGGATACGGGTAAGGTTAGGGACAGGTTTGTTGGTATGGGTAGGTTTAAGGGTGGGTTAAGGTGTAAGGGATGGGTCAACTGTGTAATTATAAATGTAATTACAGAAATTAATTACAGATGTAATTACATGCAGGTATTTTTAAAATATAAGTACAATGTAAAAACATGTATGTACACAATAAGTGCATTGTACCAAATTATTAATTTAAATGTAAGTACATAGTTGTTAACGCCACTTAATATAAAGTGGGTCCTTTTTTTCATTACTAGAAATAAAATAATTCTCATTGACTAAAACTGAAATAGTAACTAAACTTATATAGATATAAGAATATAAGATAAAAACATATGAAAAAACTACTAAAAATGACACACAACAAAATTAATAAAACTGTAACTAAAATGAAAATGGAAAATATAATTTTGTATTATTATTATTAATACTATGTAATCTATAAATAATAGGAAAAATATATTTATTTGCACAGTATTTTTTTATTTTATATATTTTAATTACACTTTAAAAAAACACATAAAACGCCAGAGTTCAAATTTAATATATAGAAATTATATTAAATATATATTATAAATTTTATAAAACTGACATTTTATTTTAGTCAAGGTCTTTTGCTGATGTTTTGACAAATTTGTCTTGCAAATGCTATGTGGACATGATGCACCGTTCATTATCTCTGAAACATTTTGAACCCTGTTTACACCTCTATTTCTGTACAGTAGCGCTGTACAATTGTAATCATACTCAAAATTGATTTCAATACCAGATACGAAATACCAGCCACATCAGAGCTGGTGTGAAAAGGCCCTAAAGACAGTAATGGCAGAGAAAACGCATAAGTGCCTGTACCTCTGTTGAAAGGCATGTGTGCTGGCTTCCGTAGGCCATGGTATATTGGCTCTGTCCTCCAGCTTTGCCAGACTCCCAAGCAGCAGCTCCTTCCGTCCCCTAAAGGAACTCCACATGGTTGCTAGTGCCTCTGCCTCACTCTGCTTTGTCCCAATGCTTCTCTGAAGCACCTGCACGCTCAACGCAACATCATCCACCAGCCTTCTGCAGGATGTTCTTTCCTCCTCTGCCCCCTGTAAATGAAAATGTGCTTTGTTCAGGATGATATCCAGGCTAATGGCCTGCACCTCCAGACAAGCTAACTCCTTGGCGAGGTCCCCAAGTTCCTGATTTATGTCCCTGACTTTGGAGTCATCCCAGCTCCCTCTTGCGTCAACAGCATCTTGGAATGTCTGTAGAGAGATTCTGGCTTTATTGTAGGTCTCACAGAAGTCTTTTAGTTTGAGTAGAGCTTCATCCCGATGCTCTACTAAACTCTGAGCTTCACTGAAGAGTTGAAGGCAGTCTTCCTTCCTGGTCTGGAGATGCTGCAGGTCTTTTGGGGCTAAAGATGGGCTGAGGGCATCTAGATGTGGCTGTAAGGCTTCCAGTGACCTTCCCTGGGTCTGAAGGGACACCTTGTCCTCCTTTTAACCGTTGGAGAAAACAGATACTTATATATTTTTCAATTTAGACGAAAGGATGATGATTGGATGATATGCTATGAATATATACATATATATATATATACATAATATACCTTGGTTTTGGAATCAGCAGACTGTAGATCAGTGATGCTGACTTTGCAAGTGCTTTGGATGTGCCTGAGGAAGTTCTCACTCCACTGAGTCAGAGCAAGCGAGATCTGACTGAACTGCTCCAACTTAGAAAGATGGGACTGAAGTTCTTGAATCCTGAAAATACAAAATTAAAGGTCAGCTCCCACCCATCCATATTAAAGGGGTCATATGATGTTGCTAAAAATAACATTATTTTGTGTATTTGGTGTAATGAAATGTGTTTATGCGGTTTAAGGTTAAAAAAACACATTATTTTCCACATACTGTACATTATTGTTTCTCCTCTATGCCCCGCCTTTCTGAAACGCGTC